AATGATTCTGTCGCTAGTAGCAATCCATACTAAAATTTAACTTCAACTTAAATTAATCCAAATGTATCTCTAGACCGAAGTGATATAATTTCAATAAGAATTATATATAATAAATACCATTAGCCTCTATAAGATATTTATTAAACATAGAATGCACCCTTCTCTTTATCATTAATTTTATTAGTAAACGTGCTTTATCATACTGTTCATTGCCTCTTACATCCAAGAAACAATGATGGTCGTATTTTCATTGTGTTTATTAATAGGAAAAAATAAGATTTAATATTTTGGTATCATTAATTTTCTGCAGATCAATGAAATAAATATACAGTTAGCCAGTTTACCACCATTCGCACTGATAGCATCTGCATTCATAACCTATTTATCACCTTGTCCTGAAGATGTACGTCGACAACAAATTACAAATTGGATTAAAGATTTAACTAATCTTGGTATAATGCCAACATCTTTATCTTCTGAAGTAAACAATGATCGCACATCAAGTGAAGATTTTGATTTACGTAGATTTTTATCTACTGAACATGAGCAGTTATTATGGTATAGTCAAGGTCTATCGTCAGATCAATTATCAGGAGAAAATGCTGTTACTATTGTACATGTGAGTCAACAATTTAAATGGTCATACACATATTTCACTATGCAACTCCTTTGATGTTTTAATGCCCGTTTGACTCCGATATGATCGAACGATCATGTTGTTAATGTTAGATGTACTACTTGTTTTGTGTTTATTATGTCAACAAATCATGTTAAGACGGCTTAAATAATTAAAGTCGAATACAAATTGTATCTAAGTTACTTATATTTCAAGCGTGTTAATATTTAACGGTAAACAAGCAAGAACCTGTGTAAATCATTGGAATTCGGTAAAACACCAGTTCAGTAAATAATGAGATGATTCAGTTTTTGTAAGCGTGAAAGAGATAGAAGTATGTAGACACGTGGATTACTATTATGTCTTCATGGTTCATTTCTGTACTTTGAAATCGTGGTGATTTCATGTTATTAATGGAAATGATTACGATTAGGAATTCTTGTATTCTTGGTTTTACTATAGCTTAATAAGTTATAGACAATAATATAATAGACATTCATTTCCATAATTATTACAAACGAAAAGACCTCGTAGGTTTTCTAGATATGCTAATTAATACTCTCAAGAATGCTAAAACGTTTTGATGACAGTCTAAATAACGACTTATTCACTGTCAAGTAATCACGTTTCATTTTATAATAGTTTGAAGGTTCACAGCACCATAGATTACAAACCTATGACCATCCCAGGAGTTAAACATTGAACTATCGGATGTCATTGTGAATTATTTAAATTCTGGTTAATATCCAGAAGAAATTTGGAGCAGTCTATCGTCAAGTTATGTATCTGCTTTGAAATTCTATTTATTTTAATCTTCGATAACTAGCTCAAGAATCTGAATATCAGGTGTTTTCAAACCTCTTAAATTCATTGATAAGAAACGTTGACATGAGTACTAGTGTAGTGAACACGAACACCAGTGTGAACAATCGGATGCGTTGAGCCGCAAACTTACAGGACTCGTTAATAAAATCTAACAATCAAAAAGTAAATACGTAATTTGCAAAATGTCCATCAATTGTTTCATAATGACTCAGACTTCATTGTTCTTGCATTTTCATACAAATTGCATTCTGTTCCTATTCATTACTGTTCGATCCTCTCGTATCTCTGCTGCCAGACATTCTGTTCCTGGCTAACATCATATATTGCTTATGTCAATATAAGTAGCACACACAACACTAGAAGTAAATAATAATTTTATCAAGGTTACAAATAAGTGGTTGGTGACAAATGTCAAGACAACAAAGTATCTCAATCTATATAACTGATTCGTGAATGTTAGGCGTCGTATATTATGATAATATTCTTTTTTGATCGCAATCGATTTTCTTTAAAATAGTTTAATAACCTAGAATCATTCTATTTGTTTCTAATATGTAACATTTTCAGTGCGTTGGGGGGACCAAAAATATTGCGACACAGATGTTTTGGGATGATGACAATAATGTCGATTAATAAAAGAGATAAAGATCACATAATTAGTATACAAGTAAACAAGAATGTTATTGATTAAAAGGTAAACTTCAGTCAGGAGAGTCTTCTTTTAGCCAAGAAGATTCATCTTGCCATTATGAATTATGTAACAGGAAACTGCAGTAGGATCATCATATTCTTTTCTAAACCATAAATAATAATAATAATAATGTCTCAACTCGTTGAATTGTAGGATCTGTAAAATCGCATTCAGGTAGGGGAATTTGACCTACAAATCTCAGTCCCATATATTAATCTTTTTATATCATGGTAACGTCATAACAAAGAGTAATATTGCCCTATTCCAATATCTTTTATATTTCTTAAGAATTCTGTGTATACTCACATATGTTTTGTTCATTTTTTCAGACTGCGATGTGTCCATTCATTATTGATCCGTCGTCAAGAGCATTAAACTGGTTAAAAGTTTATTTGAAAGATCAACGTTTAGAAATTGTAAATCAACAAGTAAGCTACTTCAAGCATAATGTGAAATGAGGAACTTTTTGGAAATACATTTCAAATTAACCAACTTGTTTTTATATGGTATCATTTGATTCCTATTTCTGGGATTTCTATCTTTTAATCAGCTTGAAGATATCGTAAAATAAGCTACACATTTCGACGAATTAAATATATGTAGCTTATGCTTTTGTATTACAACTAGGAGTTGATTGAGTTTTCTTTAAAAGAGACGGTTCTCCTAGCCTATATTTTTAATAAACTTATTTAAATCAGGTAGGTATTCAACGAATAATGTATGTATATTAGGATCATTAGGAAAAATATGCTAATGTTAGTAAAGAAGATTCCTTTAAAACAGTTTAATCGTTTGCTATGACTGAAGTGTCTACAGCGCTTACTGTATATGTTAAGTCATCTTTTACCCTGATAGACGATGTTAGGCCGAGAAGATGTATACTTCAAGGAATAAACTTAAAAATTCTATGGAAGCATCTTATATAGTTGATGAGAGATTGTAATTTACCGTATCGTCTAAAGTGATTGTATTGTTTTAAAGTTTAAGACGCTTATATTTAACCAGCTCATGCTTTTATTTGCCAGACTACTCTTATTTATCTAAAATATTCTGAAAAAAAATTGGTCTTTTCATGCCTTTCCGAGGAAATACATCTGAGGAATTTCTAGCTAACTGTTTATGATATATATTTGTTTGTTACAGTTGTATGTAGAGATACTTTGTGTTATGATAATTGTTTACACCATTTTATCAACTTTACTCCATTTAATACAGTGAGCATTTAGAAAAACCTCGTATATAAGAAACGTATCATAAGAGTCTTTAGATAAATTTATATAACCGAGAAATATTATCCCAAACTGATTGAAATTGATCATATAGACTGCAGGATTTTCGTTTGATGATCTTCATCGACTGAGGTGGTTGAGCCACGAGTTACGTATGCCTGAACACCGATTACCACGATGCGCAATGCTAACTGGCGTTGGCGACAGTTGGAAGAAAGTTAGGGAGGAGGGCCAAACCAAAACGTGGCATCAGTCCTTGAAGTCACTAACTTCTTGTCTTAGCCGTGTTGGTAGATGCAGACTACTTGGTTGGGGTCCGCGTGAATATCGGAACCGATGGTTAGAGATTCCTGGTGACAGGGCTCAGAGTCGATCACAATGGCGTCGATGTATACACTCTTTGTCTTCCCTTAGACCGTAAGATTAAAATTGCTTTATATCTTTCTACCAACTAATTCTTTCTTCATGTAATATATCCTTACATAAAATCTTTAATAAATTACTATCATTGCAGTAACTACTTCTATGAATTCAGTGTTCATTTTGTTGTACTAATGAGATATGGCAACTTGGAATGATGCATATATGTACCTGGTTCTACGTTGTAGCTGATTGACTAAATTGGATGATCACACTTTATCTATAATATCTGAAGTCCTTGAGTTCTATCCTCAGTTTACTCGTGAATGAGTAATTCTAAGGGATTCTACACTCGAATGAAATAATTTTCCAATATACTCTTACATTCAATAGTTTTCTATCTAATCTCAATCCATAATAATAATAAAAACTACAAACTGAATAATCTGTCTTGATACAGAAAACGAACATTTATTGGTGCATTTGTGAACGACTTGAATAGACGTTTTAGACATAACTAAAGAAATTTTAAATGGATGTATTTTATAACTATTACTACTACTATTATTATTATTACTATTATTATTTTTATATCCAAGCGAAGATTAAATCACGAGTAACTTCTGAGACATATTAATTGACTAATATTATCTATACATTCTTATGGTACAATTATTCAATAATTAAATTATGTATATTTATATTCCCCTTGTTATAAGCTTTATTTTGACTTAGAATTTATTACTGTACGATTTACTGTTCTTAAGCTATGTTCAGTTTATTGACTACTGCCTCCCACGTTCACAGCCACTTTTTGGCATTATAGTGTACAAATGTTATTTCCTGTTTTATGGTGCGTCGTGGTCTGTTTGATTGATATATAAGCCCAGTACATCTAAAATAAATGATCCGATTCGATTCGCATAGTGGGAGATGATATTGGTGTTCTGGACTCAAATGGACGGGCTAGACGGACATAGGACGCTAGGGTGCTCTTACCGGTCGAACGCCATTGGCTTGGCACAGTGCTAAGATTGTATAAGTCGTATTTTGATTGGTGGATAAATCACGTGATAAAAAGCCGGACATAAAGTCACAACAATTATTACTATTATTACTATTACTATTATTACTGCTATTATTATTATACAAAGTCTATTACTATTAAATACTATTGAAATTCATTGTAAATTCCTCTTACAACATGAAACAGTTATAATGAAGGCAAAACGAAGTCTATGTAAATTTATCTAATATCACGTTGTAGAAAGTTCGAATTATTTGAATGTTTAATTCTATCATCATTTGGTGTTGTTTTGTTTTTTTAGAGTCCAAATTTTATAACAACATTAGAATTGGCTGTTAGATTTGGAAAATGTTTAATTGTACAAGAAGTTGATGAAATTGAACCCATACTTATGCCACTATTATCAAAAGATTTAATTTTACAAGGTTAGTAAATATATGATGATGACGATGATGATGAGGATAATAGATTTTATTTTTACTGATAAGTCTGTTATTCGAACTCTCGATTCGATTTCGTAACCGCTTTTAATAATTCGATGCCCAAAATAAATCCAAAAAAAATGTAAACAAAGATGAATAGTGACTAGCATTGGAATCCAGGACGCACGTTCCAACCTATTTGGGACTCGTCATCTAGATGTACCATGCATCTCAGAATTGATGTTCACTCTGGGACTCAAACTCAGTAACATTCGCTTCAAACTCCATCGCGTTATCCACTTAGCTAATGAGTCCTGGTAGCCATTTGGTTGTGCAATGGGGTGAAGTTTAGATTCACTTGGTATGAGAAACTGATCGATTGCTGTTCTAAACATCAATAGGAAAATTTAAGTAAACAATACTAAGTGAATTGAAATCAAAAAATGGTTGATGAAAGCATTACTTTTTATATGATTTATACACATTTAGATTTGTCCAAATTTAGCTAAGTTGCATTTAACATTGATGGTTCTATAGCTTACTTTGTGAAGACATATTTACACGATTATACAATTAAGAATCTATTATCCTTCTTAAAAGATAAATACATGTCAAATACAATGGGAAAAAGAATTAGTTTCTTGTGTCATCCACACTCCAATCAAATAAGGGGTTACTCACCATTTCATTTTCATTTTATGGTCAATTAATTCTTACTAATTAATCCTTGTTATGTTATAAAGTCATCAATTAATCACCAGTTTTGTTATGAATTGATATGACTAGAGAAAGTGTACCAATAAGAATCTGGATTTATAGTAACCTATTTTCGTCTGCTGACTAAGGTTTTAAGTTTTGGCTAGTTACACGCTACCACGGCTGGCAGCGATTAAATCAAGGATCATGTTAACTCTAATTGATCCAGAACACTTTCTTCTTCTATCCTTAGTAATCAGCCCGAATAAGAGAACGTAGCAGGCAGTCAAGTTTTTATGTCATTGTTTCAAGCACTTATTAGTTTGTACACATGATTTATCAGGTCACAATACAACAAATTAAGAATCATACTTTACACTCATTCAGTTCATAATGGACGAAGAATGAAACGTATAACAATAATTAATAGTTACAACGGAATCTCACAGCTCAGGGAATATAAAAATAAATTAATCCAGTTATTTTATAACTATACAATAAAAATGTAATCAGTAATAGCCCGTTAAATAATTCCTAAAGTTTTAACTTCAATAATCGCTCCTTTAAAATAACTCTTCATGAACAATCGAATGACTTCACTAGTTCAAATAAAGGGTATTTTAGTAGCGTGATATAAACATCTGGTATTTTGTGTTATAGGTAAACGGTGAGACATAATCTTTCTATGGACAATATCAAAAATCACTTTCAAATCCGTAGATCATCACTTGAAGATTATCTGATCTATATAATTAAAGTATGTTTTTAAATTTCCCGATTCTCCACCAGTTTACCATGTAATAACAAAAAACTTTATATGGTACAGTGAATTCATCCAATTTTGTGCTCTCTGAATCTTCCACATACACACTGATTTGTATAAATAAGTAAATAAATTTTGAAAACGTAATTCTGTATAATTTTACATGATTAATCAATCCTTTCAACCAGAACGTATTTCTTGGAAATAAACACATCAATCACAGTAAAGATACCACCTGAGAATCAGCGAGCAACGTACATCTGTTTCATCCCCACATAAAATTTCTCGTAAGTTGAATATTCACAACCTAATCACGGATCGAATCCAGGATTTTCATATCTCACACAACAACTGCTTAACCACTAAATTAGAATCAATTTGTTATGTATACTTGTCAGAAAATGGTTTTGTGGAGATTGTGTAGTGAACAAGAACATGAGCGAGGACAATCGAATGTATTTGACACAAAATCTGATAACCATATAGTAAATAGTGAATTTGCTAAATATCAATTCATCGTCTCAAACTTCACTATGCCTTTTGCAAATGTCAGTCCATTGTCTCAGATTTCATTGTCCATGCATTTTCATACCGGCTGCGTTCCATTTTCGTTCTTTCCTTATCGATCTTCTGTTCAAACACATTCTATACCTGACCACTGTTATATACTACTTATATGGATATAAGTACCCCACACCAATTGTAGTGATTTAATGATTGAATTCATGAGTCAATTGAAGCTAGACCATCATGGAAAACCTGGAAGTACTGGACAGCCGTTTCATCCTAGTATGGGACTCTTCGGCAGTGAGCACCCACGTTTCTGCCTAGCGAGATCTGAACCAGGAAATTATCAGTCTCGCTTGCGAACGTTTAGCCTTTAAACCACTGAGCCGGCATCCAACAGTGTTAATGTCTAAATCCAACCGTCCACCATTGTCTTAAGTAAGTTACTATCTGACAACAGACACGGTTGAACTCCACTGGTTACGGCTTCTCACTAGAACTCCAGGAAATAACTCTTGAAGGCAGTCACCAATATGCATATGATGATTATAATCAGAGAAGGGTTTTGTGGAGATTGTAATAGTTTAATGATTGAATTCATGAGTCAATTGAAGCTAGACCACCATGGAACTCCTTAGCAGTGAGCATCCGCGATTCATTACCGCGAGATTCAAACCGAAACTTTGTAAAACTCAGTTCATAAGAACTCCAAACAATTAATTACCTACTGATGTGTGGGCGAGAATGATAATGATTGATTGTCTGCATAATCAAACATGTAGATAGTCTGACAGGTGTCAGATGAGTTATATATTCCCTCATCCGTATTATTATTGTGACTCAATATTGATTGTTCATTGTTGTTGGGTTGTGTCGGGTTTTTGGTGTGGAAATATATTTACGTGGTGGTCAGGCTAATCACGTGTTCTTGATCTGATTTGTGTTGAAGTCCTGTAGAATAGACACTAGGAGGGAATCTAGTGTAGATACTCGTCTAAGGTAAATTAATGTCCCATACGTGTAAACGTTGGAAACACAACCGTTATAACATTAAACGAAGTAAAACCGAGCGTTATAACATCTACTTTATTTTGTTTTTCTGTTTTTTTTTTCTTATCTCTACATTAGGATCACGAAATTTCATAAGAATTGGTGAAAAGTTAATAGATTATCATCAAGATTTTCGTTTATTTCTATGTACACGTAAACCATTACAAGGCATAGATTATATTCAACCAATTAGTGCTAATGCATTAGTTACTGTTACTAATTTTATTTCAACACGAACTGGTTTAATAGAACAATTATTAGAAATTACTTTACAAAATGAATGTCCACAATTAGAAAATCAACGTCAACAATTAATTCATAATGAAGAGAAAATGAAAATGGAATTAGCTAAATTAGAAAATGATTTACTAGAGGTAATAAATTTATTTTATTTTCCTTCTATCTGTATAAACTTTTCATTTATGAATTGTTTTCATGAGATACTCCTGGAGTTCTAGTGAGAAGCCGTTACCAGTGGAGTTCAACCAGGTCTGTTGTGAGATATCAGCTCACTGAAGACAATGGTGTACGATGGCGCAACTTCGTGGATTGTTTGAAATTAGACATTAATACTGTTAGATGCCGGCTCAGTGGTCTAGTGGTTAAGTGCTCGCGCGCGAAACCAGTAGGTCCTGGGTTCGGATCCCGCGTGGTGCGGGATCGTGGATGCGCACTGCTGAGGAGTCCCATACTAGAACGAAACGGCCGTCCAGTGCTTCCAGGTTTTCCATGATAGTCTAGCTTCAATTGACTCATGATTTCAACCTGTGAAATTTCTAAAAATCTCCACAAAACACATTCTGATTATAATTATTTGTAAGGGTTTTGGTGATGGGTTTTTTTATTGTCTATACTGACGATCGTAAATAATCACTTCTTGATGGGAAAATGAGCTACTTGAGTGGATGCTTTGATGTTGAAGGTACATTCAAGTGACGTTATGTCACAAATAGATTGAAACAGCAGTTTCGGATTCCATGGATAACTACAGTCACATAATATGCCAAGTCACCAATGTAAATTCTGATTTGGTTTATTTCGTATCTTCTATGTACTCTATAGCTAGAGATCTCTGACTTTGCCAATTACACACAATTTCAAACAGACGTGGTTTATATACAGACACATCAGAACACATCACACCATAAATTTAAGAAATAAAAATTATTCATAAACAAGCCAAGTTAATAGAAAAAATTGCCAGTAGTAGATTGGTAATAAATTAGAAATACCATTGAAATCATGAACCTATCTAAGTTCGACCACTACTGAAAATCTGGAAACACTGGACGATCATTTTGTCTTAGTATGAAACTCTTCGAAAGTGCTCATCCACGAAACAGCCGTCCATTGCTTCGAGATTTTCAGTGAAATTCAACAATCTCCACAACCCCTTACTGAAAATAAGGAATATTATATAGTATGCTCATAATTCATGGGTTAACTGAAAGCTTTTAGTAAACAGAACACATAAACATAGTAATCTAGTTAGTTAATTATTATCTAACGAGAATATGTTAAATAATAATCCATAAATTAGTTCTCGGAGTTAACATTCTTTCAGTCTTATTTTTTGATAATATTGTGGTGCGTGCTACTTATATTGACATAAGTAGTATATAATGCGAGTCAGGAATGTAATGTCTGGCAGCAGAAAATTGAGAAGATCAAGAAAGGAATAACGGGAATAGAAAGCAATTAGTATAGAAATGCAAGAACAGTGAAGTCCCAGACAATTATTAAACATTTTGCAAATTAGGTATTATAGTATGGTTTTTCTATTTTACCAAGAAACTCTGTAATGTTGTGCTGAATATAATTCGGTTGTCCTCACCTGTATTCACCTTCACTACAATATCAACTACAATCTAAGATGTAATTTCCCGGTAAATCAAAATAATCTTTTAATTGATGTGGGGGATTTGGAGCTTATAAAGATTCTGAATTCAAGGAACGTTAAAATATTCGAAATTTAGTAATTATTTATTAAAAGTTCTAAGATGAATATGTTTCAATATAGATCATTGATTTGTTTCTACAGGGATTTTTGAATCATGAGTGTAATCATTTAGTCATAAGCTATTAGCTAAGTTAGATAGAGACTATATATAGTGTAATCCAGCATGTGTATTTTGTTTTATATAGTGATTTGGACTCAGTAGCTTAGTAGATAATGAGTTGATGTTTGAAGAGAAAGGTTATGGGTTCGAGTTTCAGTATGAATATTAACGCTGGAATGCAGATACATGGAATTTGTGAGTCTCAAATAAGACGGAACGTAAGTGCTGAATTCTACTACTAGCTACCGAAAATCCTTATTAATTTATACTTATGCCGGTAATACAAACTATTTTCTTGCTGACATTAAACTAAAGCTGCATGTAAAAGTTTATTACATAACTATACCATTGAAAATATCATCGTTAATAAGGATTTGAATCAGTAGTAAGGACTGAATTTAGATTACTTTTTGTCTCTGTGTGTGTGCAGTCGGTACAGATTTCCTCGATATAGCCATGTTGTCACAATTTCTTGAAAACAGATGGATTGTGGCTAGAAGTGAAATACAGGACAAACATTTCTTCCTGTTTGAAACTCGCCATCTGAATTTATATACATCCACGTTGATGTTCTCATTGGGACTCAGACCCAGTATCTTTCGCATTAATCGTTGACACACCATACGCTCAGCCACTGAGTTTCTAGCTTTTTCATCGGATATAATGTTCACGATGATTATTAAGGGAGATTCGAGAACGAAATATCCTTCCTGAATTAGGACCGATCTATTCTAAGTATTTAAACTATCTCAGTACTAACAGCTGATTAGAATGCCTGATAGTTTCTCTCTCTACTCCTGACTACTTTATATGTGCAATGTAAAATTATTCATCACGAACTTGATGTTCATAATGAAAAATAGTTCAAGCTTTTATAGTATTGCATAATGATTATCATATTCATTCTTCTTGGCTTTTTGTCAAATGGAACATTTTCAAACAAATATATGAAAGGAATTGTCAAATGCTCATGGTAATATATTAGAGAATAAAGAACTTTTGTCATCATTAAATAAAACGAAGCAATCAAGTTTAGTTGTAACGAATTCATTGAAAGAATCCCTACGTCTACAAGCTGAATCGAATAAGGTAAGATTAACGTTTTCATATAACTAATGCATTTTGATATATTATGCAAGAATATCGAACATTGAGGAATGAAATGAGGTCATTTAATCTTTTCTTGTGCTCTAAATCATCCAAATACAGACTGGTTTGTACAATCGCAATATTATGTACAATGTGAAAAATTCATTTAGCACACCAGTATAAATGTATCCTACATACGTACAAGTTTAATAACATAGATGAATGAATTAAAATAGAGAGAGATCATGATGTAATCGAATGTGTAGGAAGCATGTGAAACTTGTTATAATTATGGCAAATAAAAATGATTAAAGTGATGTGAGACGGTTACCTACCAAAGACAATGAAAAATAGTGGCGCAATGTCGTGGATTGATTTAAGTAAGACATTACAGTTATCGAATCTCTGCTCGGTGGTCTAAAAGTTAAACGGTCGCACGTGAAACCGAAGGTCTTGGCTCAATTCTAGCATGAGTGGTCTTGGATGGGCACTACTGAGGAGTCTCATACTACGACTAAACGGCCGTCTAGTGCTTACATGTTTTCAATGAAATTCGGCTATCTTCACAACTACATACTGAAAGTGATAGTAATTACCAAAAAAACCATTGATGAATAAATCATATTAGCGGTGATAACAACATTACTAATCATAGTAACACTGGTAGAGGGTACGAAATGAACGGAAGTAGTTGGATGTCTAAATTGATAAAAGGTCAAACATTTCATTGAATAATCTGAAAATAATAAAACAGTAAATTGGAAATGACATAACAAACTAGACCAAATTGAACAATTGAAATGTTGTGGTAAAATACAGATGAAGTCAAACAAATGAAACCAGGAAAATAAGGGAGGGTAGGTGTGGCGGTGAATCGGTCATGATATTAATGACAAGTGAACTGCAATCTCTTTTTGTACTGATAATTTTAGTTTTAGATGACCAACTGCTCCTACTTCTGTGTACCGTAGAAGTGTGTCTTATTCTATCTACTTATCACCCGAAATATAGCATCAAGATCTACTGAATCATCCATATTCAATATGTTTTCTAATACCACTGCTAAACAGTTTAGGGCTATTCAAGATCAAATTCTTTAGAATATGTTCTGAAACTCTGTTAAATAATATCTTCTCTACCCTTCCAGAGTACGTGTTACACATGTTGCACATAAAATTACAGTTGTATAACTTCAATTATTGGTATAAATATATATGAATATGGATGAACTAGCAGATCACATGATATGAAATGACTTCATTTTATTCCAGAATGTTCGTTGTTCCTGATTTACAACAGTTCACCATCTTGGCTGTAACACTAATAGTTGTATTGAAAGACATTTTTATTATATATTGACATTGACTATTGATCCACTAGAAACCAGAAAGCTCTGGACATCTGTTTTGTTTGACATTGATTATAAACGATCTCAGCAGTAACCATGACTCAAGACCTCCGTCTTTCGTGATAGGTATTACACGATTTATTGATTTGACTGAATGTCAGCTAGTTGTTTGTATCCCTTATTTTTTATTCCCGAGTAGTTATCAATTATTAGATAAGTTGCATTAATTTAAATGAATAATTTCATTTTTCCAATATATTCATTCCGTTGAATGATTGTTCTGTCTTTTGAAATTTGTTTTGATTGTGGTTTATAAATCATGTCCCACAAAACCGATAATCACTTCGACAATCTCAGTTACTCAACTATCCGATTTTCTCCTTTAAAACACGCTGAAGGTGTGAAATGTGACCAATAGATCCCATCTTGAAAACAATATCATGCTTGTTTCTAGATTCCAAGGTTTGATATTTACTAGCATATGATGTGAATATGAACGATTGGGAGTTTCTAAACCAGGACTTAAAAGGGATTCTGGACCCCTTGATTTTCAGTATCACTCCTGTCAATGTTAGTTCATTAGTCAAACCAGCGTTCAGTTGAATAATTCTCTATATAATCACACTAGTAATATATTCGCTTTTTGTTTGAGAATGAATGAGGTCAAGCTTGTATTTATTCCTATAGTGGCCACCTTTTTATAATTTCATCAAGTGGCTCATTTAATGAGACCGAATAACTAGTCATTACACCAGTCAATCAAAGTTCAGTGAATTCACAACAAAATGACAAAATACATCCCAGAAAATTCTGTGATGAATTAAGTTCTTTGTAGATTATATATCAATTACAATATGCAAATCTCTAACAATACTATATTTTAATGTCAAATATTCCATTATGTTTTTAATCTTTGATACATTTCATAAAGGAGAGAAATGTATTTTATCCATTAGCTGAAACTAGCAGTCGACTTTATTTCGCTCTGAAAGATCTCATGAAAATTAATCATATGTATCAATTCAGTTTAAACAGCTTTCTATATCTTTACCAACGTGCTCTGTCTATGCCACATGTAAGTAATTTCAAATTATCTAATATTTTCTTATCATTAATATGTTGAGTTTTGACGTTCACTCTGGTGGTTACATTTGAAAGTGATTTAAAAGGTTTTAATGAGAAAGTGTAACCGGTCGATTTCATTCATGTTGGGAATAAGACGGGTATAACCAATGATTGACGTATAGTATCAGGAAATGTCTGAAGTTAGAAATATGGACCTTCTAATGTCATCTAAGTAGTTTAAATGTAAGATTCTTGATGAGAAGCCTAAATTTTGTAGGTTCAACTCCTTGTTAGATAGTGAGTAAACATTATCTAGGAAACGACTTAATAACCATCTAACATTCCATCTAATATTCGCTGAGATCTTTTGGCTAAATTCTGTCCATGATTAAAACTATCTTCAATTGGTTCGAAAAAAACAAGTCATTTAACTGACTGTCTTTCCAGATTAAGAGAAGAACTGAAATTATTTTGTTTGGTAGATGGACAAGAATTCGATACTGAACTTCCTAATGCGATAAGAGCATAGTATCAGCTCAGGAAATTAATTAAAATGTATTGGATCGTCTTCTGTTATGGTTTGACAACGACCATATATATTTACTCTGAAAATAGTTTACGTCACTAAGTTACCTTAATTGAACAATCATTGGCATTCGGCAGTTGTTTGATTCTAATATAGCAAATTGACTGCAGTAGAAAACATGAATTATTGAATTATAACTGGATCGGAATGTATTGTGTTTTGATTCTGCGTAGAATTATAAGAGTGAACTTTAGATTAGGTTCAGGCTAGAATGCAAAGAAAGTAATGCTTACGAGGTAGGATCAAAAAGAATTGTTTATCTTGAAACTTGAAATGGTATCGAACATCTACATAGGATGAATTTTTCAATATGCTCAAATGGTATTTTGATAAAACAAATGCTAAAAATCCCAAGTGGTACGTCATGAAAAGCTACTTAACTATTGTAAATTTCTACGGTGAAATCATAAAATTCCATCACTGAAATGACACTTGTATTTCTGGGATACTAAATTTCTTAGGGCGTACAATGAATCATTTTTCTGTGTATACGATTCGCTCGATCTATACTAGATATCCATCCAGCACTATTCTACCAGGCTTCAACACAACTCGCACCAATACACTTAGTAGCCGAAAATCAACAGCCAACAATCCAGTAGGTACAAGGGGGTGTTCATATATGACACATCAAATGATTTTCAGACTATCCACCAATCTGTCTAGGAAATAACCAATCACTACTTCCTCTCGTCCATACAACAATTATCTATGGGTTTCAAACTTGGTACAGTCATCAATAACTTTGTCTTCTTCATTGTTAAAGAACGATGGTCATTGTCTGTAAAGCAAAAGATTGATTTTACAACGCTTTAATTTCCAGAAATCAGTGTGATTGCATAATTTTGTGAAATGAGTGTACAAAGATTTGTGAATCAAAAAAACGACACACTTTCGTGGATTGGTTGGAGTTAGACATTAACACCGTTGGATACCGGCTAGCTCAGTGGTCTAGTGGTTAATCGCTCGCGCACGAGACTGGTAGATCCTGGGTTTGAATCTCGCGGGGGCGGGATCGTGGATGCGCACTGCTGACGAGTCCAATGCCGTCCAGTGCTCCCAGATTTTCCATGATGGTCTAGTTTCAATTGACTCATGATTTCAACTATTAAAAATAATTGTTGAAACTAACGAAAATATAATTTTAACTTGCCATTACAAAGTTCTACTTACTGTTATAAATGTCGGTTTTCCTCGTCTACACGAATGGGAAGTTAATTTGCCTTAGACGAATATCTACACTAGATATCCTTCCAGTGTCTATTCTACAGGACTTCAACACAATTCAGATCAAGAACACGTGAATAGCCTGACTAGAACGTAAGTATATTTCCACACCTAAAACCGACAACAATCCAATAATAATAAGGGTAAGAGAATATATAACTCATTTAGTACCTATCAGACTATCATCTACTAGTCTGACTAAACAAACAACCAATCATTATCATCTTCGCCCACATATCACTTACCTACCTATGAAGTATAAATTAGTTGTTTTACAGCAAACATTTGTTTTATAAACACTCCATTGATCAGTGACGGGTCCAGGTAGTGGAAATTATGTTTATCATACTCTAAAACGTACACTTCTATTAGATAAGGAGATCAATTAGTAAATTAAAGGCTGTTTATTTGACGTAGCATAAACAACTAGTTTAGAATATATCTGTTACCGAAATAATGCGTATAAAACACTGTTAGCCTAATTTGTGCTTCGTGTCACTTACATGAGTCAGATTGGTTCCTGTTTCATTTAGCATTATCTAAAAATGAATATCAGCTATAAGTTTGAATCATTACGTAATAGTTAGCGTGATAAGGCGAGAGTAAACCCACTAGGTCAGAAACTAACGGAATACAATTTTGGGTAATGAATATCCGATATATGATAAAATCGTTTGGGTACATTTAGAATTGACTTAAACAAAGAATTTAAACTAGTTTCGTAATTAAAACAAAAGATAATAATATGTGATTTTTGTTTTTCAAATTGAATTCGTTTATACACAATGTCAACAGAAATCTTTTTTTACATTGAATGAATTCGTTTGAACCGGCTACTCAGTCAATTTAGTACTATTCATATAATTCAGACTAAAATGGACAGAGAATATTGTTGGATATCTAGATATGATGATAGATGGGAAGTTTATATATTGCTATCTCTAATATTTAAATACTCAATGGAAAATGATACAGTGGTTTATCGTATTTTGCTTATTTGAACAAAGGAAGAGAGATTATTTTGAATTTTATGCATTCAATGCACTATATCAAGAAGTGATCAACATCTTTTGCAGATGAAAATGAAAGGCAGTTAATTATTGTTTTAAAGACACTTAAGAATGTATTTGAACATTCACAGTTTAAATAAACATAAATAAAGCGCCTGGCGCGAGACTGATAGGTCCTGGATCCGAATCCCGTGAGGCGGGGTCCTGGATGCGCACTGCTGAGGAGTCCCACAACAGAACGTAACGGCCGTCCAGTGCTTCCAGGTTTTCCATGGTGGTCTAGCTTCGATTGACTCATGATCTCAACTGTTGAAAATAAGTCAGAGATTTTGTTAAAGCTATGTATCATTTTCCTCTGAGAAGCATTTACTGCAACCGATTATACAGTACTGAATAAAGCCGGTATTATTATCATTACTATCTACCATGGCTATTTGGATTTTGCAAATAATAATTGCTATATATTGTTTTACTTGAATTTTCCCATTGATGTTTTTTTTTTGGACTGAAATTGATCAGTCTCTTATTGGCATATGTGCATACTGTGCGTATGCCTCGATATTGCCTAAATTTACAAGCATTATAAGCAAAGATAATTGCTATAGTTTTCATTGTATGTAGGTATATATATAGACATTAGAGAATAATGAGGTTAGTACTAGAAAAACACTGGCCTGGTGGTTTTACTACGGCTTTTAACCAGTTAACCTCATGTCTGAATCCCACTCTCAATCGGATAGTATCATAAGTCTTTTTAAAAATTGTGCAGCTCAAAATCGAGTGCATAAACCTGTATTGGATTATATGAGTTACATCAATTGACTAGGTATTAAAAAAAGGATTTATACAACTTAAGTATTCTCTTAAACAGCCACATTTTAAATCTCTTCAACTATATGGAGTTGCTAAATTATTTAAATAGTAGTATTTTCCTATGACATCGTATTTTTTGGGTTTAGAATATTCTGCAATTTATAATTCAATCATATATGTATATATGTGTGGTGTGTGCTACTTATGCTTGCAGATATAAATAGCACGTAACACCAGTCGGAAGTGGAATGTCTACGAGGAAAAGGTTGAGATTTAAATGTAGAGAAGAGAGAAGAAAACTGTAAGCAATCAACAACATTAATAAAGGGACAATGAAGCTTTTAAGTGACAATTCAAAGATATGCAAATGATGTATATGATGTATGGTTTTAGTATACATATAGTTAAATCTTTCTGATCTAGGTGGTTTAATTAAAGAGATTACTGATGTCCTAGTTTGTGACTCGTTATCTTCGTAGGTTTCGCTATCTTATCACAAAAACAAACTGATTTATAATCAGTGAACAAGAATACAGGTGGGGACAACCGAATGCATTAGAACACGAAATTACAGAATATCTCACTAAAATCGGAGAACTATAAAGTAAACACTTAATTTGCAAAATGTCGATCAATTGTCTCAGATTTAATTGCTCCTGCATTTTCATACCAATTACTTTCCGCTCCCGTTCTTTCCTTCTCGATCTTCTACTGAAATACATTCCATGTCTGACCATCGTTATATACTACTTATGTGGATATAAGTAGCTCACACCACACGTAGAATGACTAAGAAATTCACTTCTTCATAATGTATGCTCTGATATGGTTGTCCAACAAGGCAATAAAAACTCTTTAATTAAATAATTCAGCTCACAGAACCTAACTAAACTAAACTCATTGAATGCATTCACCTGATCTGTAAATCTCCACATGTATGTTATTGTTATGTAAATTTTGTTTTCTTATGTCTTAAAAAAGAATACTGGACTGAAGACATCGGAACGTATTCAATCATTGCAAAAGCACATAGAACAATTGGTTTATGAAAATGTCTGTCGAGCATTATTTAAACCAGATCATTTGATGTTTGCATTACACATGGTTCGTACAATGCGTCCACAATCGTTAACAGATGAAGTATGATAACTATATTTTTGCGTAGTTTTTCTTTTTAGATTAATAATGAGTCCGTGTGTGTGAATTTATATGTGGTTGTTTACAATTATCTGTTACCTCTTCTGTATTTGCATTCTATTGAAAAGGAGGGATTAAGTTAAAACGAAAATTTATTGTTGATTTCTACGCAGGTGACTACTGGAAATACATCGATGCATATCATTATCTTGATAATTATCTAACGGGATAGTTTGGTTTCATATATATATTGGACTCTGAAAGAATGACCAATACAAAGTAGAATGATAATTACGTGAAGTAATAGAAGAGAAAAATGCAATTTAGCATATGTACATTCATTGTGGGACTGTAGCGCAATGGATAACGCGCCTGACTACGGATCAGGAAATTCCAGTTTCGAATCCTGGCACGCTCGGAAGCTATTGTGCTCAGAATCCCACTAATGTACCGAAAATATAATGTGGGACAAGGCAGTTTGTAATAATAAGTAGTAACTATCAAAGGATGCATTTCAAATAATAGGAACAATTACGAGGTGGCTTCTTTGGCCAATATTATTCTGGTCTTCCAGAAGTCATTTTATTTTCGAAAATGTAAATGCTTGGTGATCTCATGGACTTTGAATTCAATAAATTTTACTTGTCAGACCAAATCTAGTTTGAGAAATCTATCTTTATATCATTCGAAGTCTTTAAAGATTGTTCGGACGGTAGTTTAAATCCTAGACCGACTGTATCTGTCGATCACGTACAATCTCGGTCACCGGTTTTTTTATTGCTGTATTATAGTAGTATCTTGTCACAAACAGGAAGCATTACTATTCTGCCTTTATATTAATTATAATATGATAATCAAAGTGGATTTATACTGACAATACTTTGATCCTCAACAAATATGATTGTTAATCTATGAAACCTAATACCCTACTGATCCACTGAACAGAAGAAAACAAACCTTGTCTGTGACCACGAATAATTCATTACTTGTTTTAACATGCAACTCTATGTTGGTTTTACAAAAATATGAAATTGCTATGAAGATGACTAATGTTGATTGGCTCAACAGTCAGTAACAAAATAAAATGTTGATTTCCACTCTAATCATATATTTAAACTGCTGACAAAAAGAACACCTATGACTAATTCTATGTGTGATTTGTATTTTCACTTTATCCTTACTTAGCTCATTTTGAGTGTATATATATTACTTACTGATATTCAGTAAATTATATCATTGCCAGTCATTTTTGAGCATACATAGTGAAATGTTTCCTTGTAATGTGCGATGATTGTATTTACATGAATCATTGATATTTAATTTACTTATTACTGTAATTGTATTGAATCAACCTACGTTTAATTTTGTAGTCAGTCGATTTTTTTAAATATTTTTTCACGTCTACTAATAATGATCCATATTAGTAGTATTTAACAAGTAACGATATAATCTGTTATATTTCACTGTTTCCAACAATTTATAATTATTTTGATTATTACTTTTTTTTTAAATACAAGGAATGGCTGTTTTTTATTGGATTAAATGTCATAGAATCATGTCATACTGGTGAGAATCTTTACAGTTGGTTAGATGCTGAACGAGCTCGTAACTTGATGAAGCTTAAAGTAATTTCTCAAGAATTTTTTAAAGCATTTCATTCGTATACAGATTTTGACTGTATACGAATTCATTGGTTATATAATACATAATTTTCAATCTACCTCAAGTTTCTAAGTAATTAACATAACATTCCATTTATTGAATATTTATGTAACACTAAACCATTTGATTCGAGTACGAAGTAGTAATTATGAATTATGAGTTAACTACTAATCTATATTTGAAGACATGTTACTTCATAAACTTTCATAAGCTAGAAAGTCAGGTAAACGGCTACTCGGTCCTCCTTTAGAACTTGGTAGCAATGTGGACATACAATCTCGCAATCAGAACTTTTACTTAATACAATACTGTCCGATTAATAAGTCGAGATCTGCTGGTCCATACTTTCAACCTCATTCCATTGATGACAAGAACCGACTATCATCCAATGTCATCTATATCAGCAACTATTTTAACCCCAGGTATGGTTAATATATTAGCTTTTGCTCAGAACTTTTTGAAATCCGTCTTGATGTTAATCAATCACCAGTAAGTAGATATTATTACCTTAATTCAGTAGTCTAAATGGTAATTAGATTTATATGGTATTTTCCTTCTGTTAGACATTCTGTCTTTACTTATTTTTATTATCATCAATAAGATTTCATTCGCCTAAACCAAATTAGAAAAATTTAAAGTTATTTTCATACCAAGCTTCAAATCTTTTTCTTAAAAGAAAAATTAGAATAAATTCATACTACAGTGTCAAATGTCTCCATACACCTCATAAAATTTCATGATTAGTTTTGGAGGCTGAAACTAATCTCCAGGTTTTTAATATCCAATAAATACATCGTATTCAGTAGTTCCGGTATTTTTTTCCTATTCATTTAGTAATATGAATACTGTGTTATTACAGTATCATTTATATTTAACATGTCATTTCAAGAAGCTAGAGCTATTTATATCTGTATGTTATATTTCAATGTAGTATATACTCAGCCCCCAAATGCCCTGGTACGACGGAGAGTGGGGAGAGTCCTCTCTCCCTCTCGAAATGCTCTCACATGGGCACGCGTATATAGCCTCTGCCAGGAAAGTCCTACTCATTACCTTCTCGTGGTGGGGGTGTTGTTTAACAAATTGAAAGGACGAAAAGCAAATGTCCGGCGCTTTAACGGGTTGTTGGACATGGAAAGTCCACTTAGGAAGGAGAGTTGGAAAATCCTGATTCCAAACCAATGGTGCACATGGGCTCCAGGATCCTGAAGGAACAAATGGAGTATGAACCAATTTTTGGTCACGGGCTACCATGGGACTACATTTGCTGACGTCGCTCCACTGCCTTGTGGATCAGACCTTTATGTCGAAGGCTCCGGGTGTGGCCTCCTAAGGAAACCATCTGCTTCGATTTGGGCACCCGGCCAGTATCACAGCCCTCACACATATCAAATGAGATTTGTGTGGCGCATATGTATTCGGTGCCCCTTTGTACCAACATCTATGTGTTAAAATAAATAAATAAATAAATAGCATATCGTCAAGTATTGGATTGAAAATATAGTTATAAGAAAAATTACGTGTTGAAATGAAATCTTTAATGAAAGTTACATTCAATTATCAAGTACTGTATTCGCTAAATGAACAGTGAAATGACAATATACCTAATAAATATTGAAAATGTTGCAGTTCATCTCAGATACTTTTGTATAACCTAGATAATAAGATCATAAATACTTCTGACATTTTCAGTGGCTTCTCTGCCAGATTAGTTATTTTGTATGTTGATTTTTTAAGTCACCAATCAAACATATCCGTTAAGTATTTAAGTATGAATGTTGAAAGGGAAGTAACATATCATATGTGAATCACTAGGTGATTTTTAATAGTAATTTTATTTTACATTGCTATAACTTTTGATATGATAAGCAATACTATGATATTCGGAAGTATTTGAATTATAGTATGAACTAAGAATCCCAGAAATAACGTTATTGGATCAAGAAGCATTAGATAACCACAAACGAATGTACTGTACTTATAATTAGAAATCAAGCATTCAATAAGTACAAAGTTATCATTAGTTCATTCAAACACCACAAATACCTAAATCGATTGGAGTGTGAATGACATATTAAATTGATTTTCCCCAATCGTCTGTGACATGTAATCGCATTCTGAAAAGAAATAATTACATAACTTAATCCGTTAGTTAATGGGTGTTAAATATTGCTTGTTTTAATTCATACAAATCGGATTATTAATCTAACTGCAAATAAACCATATAAAAAGTGGTGTATTCATGTATTTATAAGGTTGAATAGATCCTTATTTATTATCTTCGTATTGGTACTTGTGTCATACAATTTACGATCTTCAGAAACATCTCCCAAATCAGTTTAGTACACTGTGAACATAACTTCATACTGCATGAAGCAGCTTTTCTTCAAGTAAACAATTAGTACTTCGATAATGCATTAAAGGACGAAGTTTATCGGAATTATGTGATATGTTTGCGCAATCCATTTCGAACAATCTTAGAGGCGACACAAATAGTCTCATGTTGAAACGGAGACTTAAATTAGCCATCAACCGTACATTTTATGCTGCCCAACTTTTCATTATTGAAAAGACAAGGTCTATGGTTCACCAAAAGCCCAAACAGCACCTAAGCGATCGTGTCACATCCTATTGTGTTTATCAGTTTACATGTATGTGCGGAAACACGTACATAGGGAGGAGCAATCATGATTTACAATTAACGGTGGGTGAACACATACCAAATTTACTGCAGAAGCAAATGAATTACAATGGTCAAGTAAGATCACTTGATAAACAGACATCATCCTCCATTGCGAAACATTGTATTACCGAGATTCATCAAAGGGAGTAGTTGTTTTAAATTAGTACTTCACAAATAAACACGTCATTTCGGAATAATTTTGATCATACGATTCTCCTATGGCACTTGGTATATCAATTTCACAACAATAAAAGCTCAGATCTAAATACTTCTAATAGTCACTTCAGTTTTGGTGTTTTATGGAATTTCTTTCTTTTTACTTTTTGTCCAATTTTCTTATCGTTTAAACAAATTCTTTTTGATAGACTGCACTTCCGAATATTTATGAAAATCTATGTTTTGAAGATTCTCAATTTTGGACAAATTGGTTACATGAGGATGATGTTGAACTGAAACCAATGCCTAAGAATCTACAATCCAAATCATTGACAGCTTTTCATTTCACAGTTCTTGCAGTTCAAGCTCTTCGACCTGATCGTTTATATTCTGCTATGTCACAGTTTGCTAGTCGAACATTAGGTAAATATACAATTTTAAAAACCTATTTGACATAATCCTTTTAGTTGTTAGTTAGACTGGCAGTACAATAACCATTATTCAGTCGAAAAGCAAAACACACTAGTGTTTTTGAATAGTATAACAGAGTGTTGCGTCATAGCAATCCTCTTAGGACCATTTATGGCAACAAAAACCGATCAGTTACAGACCTAAATACCAACAATCAAAAAGTACACACTCTTACTAATCCCTTCATACTCATTGGAAAAAAACTAGTGACTATCTTGACTCAAGTGATTAATCGATAATAAACTAGGGGTTTGATGCAAAGTACTGGGTTTGAGCTTTAATGTGAACATCAACACTGGGATGCAGGAATGTCCGGTTGATGAGTAAAAATTAGGACGAAACGCATGTTCAGGATTCCAGTGTTACCCGCATACCAATGATACTAAGAGTTGTTGAATTGCTTAAACCATGTTTTCGTCATCATTTTAAATTCGGTCACCACTCTAAAGCTTGATCAAAATTGATAGAATTGTTTCATGGAAAGTATCAGCTTATAATATTTATCTATCTTCAAATATAATTTATACTATTGAACAAAGCGAAAAGCTGTAATCCACTGTTTATGTCACCAGTATTTGATAACTCAACAGGAGTGATTGATGTGTTTGCCAGATATATTACTCGCTCGGGAATAAACGTTTATGTAGATTGATGCAAGGTAGAAATGAATCTCCTAAAGTTTAGCCAACCATAAAAGAGGTTTGATTGTATGTGATTGTCCTTATTTCTTAGTTATATAAACGGCATACCATTCCTACTTTTATTCTCGATGTTATCAGTCAATTAATTACTGTAACTCATTTACCAAATGTAAGTTAATTTTGATAATCCAATGATAAGGTAAGGTTTATTATAACTATGTATGACAAACTAGTGCAATATATTTCGAATAACCTTCTGATCAATCATTTGCTTGTTAAGATATTTACGTATGGAAAATAGAAGGTTAACTAGACTAATTGGAAGATAAGAAAACTAAGGATAACAGGGCAACCACATCACTCTGAATAATTAATCAATATTAGCAGTTTAGGTTTAGCGTTAGTACAAATTGTTTTTGAACACACAGGGGAAGTATTTATTATAACTTTCGTATGATTAAGGCTACAACAAACCTATCTAGTCGCACTGAGCAACATTTATACAAAGTCACAATGGCGCTAGGTTAAGATTCATCTTGTGATATATATCAACTGTTTGGCAATCGAACAAGATGAGTGGTGTAACAGAACGGATATTGGAAAGTTGAATCTCTCGGAGCTATTTTTCAGATTATTATTACTTACATCTTTATTGTGTAATAAGTAAGTGACTGTGGAGCTGTATTTATATATTACCCTTATTGTAAACTTTCATTGAATGCATGGACTGTTATTATTCGTTTTACTACGCTCTAGTTATTACTAAGTATTTATGTGCTGTTTGCTCGGCTCTTTACCGCTTATAGTATGATCATGCTAAAGTGTGACTTCCCATTCACTTTGCTGTGTGGCCAGGTATTAACAGTATATTATTGTATGAGTTTTGAGTCATCATCTGATTGACTACTAATTTAAAAAGGGCTCGAGGGTTGACAAGCGTTAAGGCATTTCTTGCTGTTAATAAGTCAGTGTGTAAATTCGGGAAATTGGTCACAGGTCTGACTGGCAATATATCACGCGTTATCTCATCGGAGTATCCAAATCAAAGTACGTGAAATAGAGTATGGACTTAAAGACCAAATAGTTGAAAGTTGGGTGCCATAACCATGACATCATCTCTCCACTTATCAGTTACTATAACGACGCTGTATGGACGACAGTGCACTTTTAGACACTAATGAACGAAACTGATGCAAAATTCTAACAACTGAGTTCCACCTAGTCGGATAATTATCATATTGCATTTTCTACTTACTCCTCTAACACTTAATTCGAAAACTTTGTATATATATTCACCGTATAATAAATAGGCTTCGCAGACTCCCATTTTCCCAAATCTCCAATTAAAACACAAAAAATCCAGATGAATAACTCCATTTGATTATTAATAAATGAAATACATGATTACAATATACCGTAATTTATAATTCTCAGGTGGATTACATAACTGGAACTTTTATAATTCAAGCTTTGACTTACAGATTTATAATTCATTGTTATGTAACTTCTGAGTTGTAAAAGATATAGCAGTAATTAATTAATGAGTGAGTTTAACATTTTCACTATTAAATGGGAATGTGATATCTGGCACTTGCGAGCATTATCCTTAAAAGAACAAAGCAACATGTACTCGCCCATTATGTGCTTTCAAAACCTCAGTTAAATGTCCTTGTACACTCCTCCATCTAAATAACTGTATGTAATCTGATCAATTAAAAAGGCAACTTCTTGATCGATATAATTTCTCTATTTTTAGACTTACCTCAACTAAGTCCATCAACATTGAATTTACACAGATTATTTGAAACTGAAACAAGATCAACAGAACCTATTCTAATATTAATTAGTCCAGGAGCTGATCCATCACAAGAATTATCTGAAGCAGCTACACTTCATTTCTCACGTAAAATATTTAATAAAACATCAGAGACAACCTCATCACATTATCGTCAAATTGCTATGGGTCAAGGTCAGACCGACTTAGCCATAAAAGAACTACATTTAGCTGCAAAACAAGGTGATTGGTTATGTTTGAAAAATTTACACCTTGTTATGCATTGGCTACCAGTACTGGAGAAGGAAATTAACACATTGTTGAATATCAATAAGAAAAGTTCAATTAGTCCTAGCAATAATGGTAATAATGATCATGATGATAATGGTACAATTAATAAATCTATTGATACTGAACATTGTGTACATGAAGATTTCAGATTATGGTTAACTGCAGAACCACGTACCACATTTCCATCTACATTATTACAAGGTTGCCTTAAAATAGCTTATGAAGTGAGCTGAAAATTTTTCATATTTCCTTATTGTAAATAATTCCTTTTGTAATGATGATACAGTTTACGTAATGATTTGGTTTTATCAGTATTGGGTTGTGGTCGCGCAATGTTGTGAATTGGTTGAGGTTAAACATTAACACCGTTGGATGCCGGCTCGGTACTCTAGAAGTTAAGCGTTCACACGCGAGATCGAAGGCCCTGAATTCGAGTCCCGCGAGCGGGATCGCGGATGCACACACCTGAGTAGTCCCACAATAGGACGACAATAGGCCATCCAGTGCTTCCGGGTTTTCAATGGTGGTCTAACATCAATCGGTTCATGATCTCTCTCTGATTTTAGCCAGATGATTATTAAAATGATGGAGTATTAGATAATTCCTGTCCTAGTACATGGCTTCACAACTAGTACTCACCTACTACTCTGTCAAGGACCTAACACAAAGCTTTTAGTTTGCGAGATGAATGTGTTATTTTGAAATTATTGAGTTAACATCCATTGACCAATGTTTTCAACCTTAGACTATTCTCAGTTTCGTCAGCTACTGATCCTCACTAGAACTCCAGAAATTTTTATCAAAATTATTCGTTAATTAACATATGACTACGTTTAACATAAAAGGCTTGTGAAAATTATTCAAGTGTATAGAATAAGAATTTTATTCAATTGATTGCACTTAGTTCTAAATGAAACGACTAATTACTTTTATTCTTATGTTTATTCTTATGCCCTAGTACGGGTGGGAGTGGAGAGAGTCAGCTCCTCCTCTCCAAAAGCTCTCACATGACCACGTGCATACAACCACTGTCACTGAAGTCCTACTCACTGCCTTCTCACGGCGAGGGTGTTGTTTAACAAATTGAAAGGACGAAAAGTGAATATCCGGCATTTTAACTGGGTTGGTGGATATGAAGGATCCACCTGGGGGAGTTGGAAAACCCTCACTCTAAACCAATGGCTCACATGGGCTTCAGTATCCTGAAGGAACAAATGGTGTATGGACTTATTGTTGGTTACGGGCTACTATGGGACTTCATCTGCTGACGTTGCTCCATTGCCTTGTGGGTTAGACCTTTATGTCGAAGGCTCCGAGTGTGGCCTCCTAAGAAAACCACCTGATTCGGTTTGGGTAATCGGGCAAAAAAGCATCTACCTGAGCTAAAAATCTGCTTCATCGTTTTGAGACAAAAAAATATATAAATTGAGTTGTATCCGTCTGAAAAACTATATATTATTCCGTTTAAATGGCTTACTGTTATATCTTGTGGCCTATTGCCCTATTATTATATTACGTAATGATAAGCCGATTAGAGAACGGTGATTTATCGACCGGACCAATGACGCATAAAACCCGTACATGCAGTCTAGAGTTTTTATTAGTCCTTCTTCCTGCCTAACCCTGCCTGTTAACTCCAGAACACTAATCTCAGCCTCGTCGATATGAATCATGTATTAAGAATACACGTATAATATTTGTCCATGAATAGTTCTCCAAAGTGACCATTCATTATTCTCGCTGCGATATAACATTATTGAATGTTTCTTGCTTCTATTATTATAAAAATTCACGTCACCGGTTAATACGTTGTATTTTATTGTCCCCAAACATTCTAACCTATGACATCTTAGATTATATAGTTTTTTTTAGTACAAACTACTAAAAAACATACACATTTAAATGGTAAATGAACCTGGTTACTGAACTCTATTTTGAATTAACTTACATCTTGACTCCCAATATGTAAGTTGAAAAATCTATTTTGATCCTGATCACAGATTTATTGTCCAATGGAAATCATTAACTATACGTGTTTGTATTCTTGAAAATAATTTTATTCACAGAATAAGATCATTTGGTAAATCATTAAAAATTAAGTAGCATTGGGGAGATGTTTAACCATCGTTCAGCTTTCCTTAGAAGTCGACATCAGTAAATCCTTACTGGACTGAACTCAGTACTGATAGATCATGTTATGATCTTGTTTTTCTTATATCAGTCCATGATATTACCTAGTTAAATGTTTATCTTTGTGTCTTTTCTAAATGCTTACGAATTTATTGGAATTGATAATACTATATAGATGTAATGAATCGATCTTATCTTCTTCATTACAAAAAAAAGATTAGGATAATTTTCAATGCATCCTAATATTCAATTAATTTTATTTCTTCTTAGGCTCCACCTGGATTAAAACGGAATCTACAAAGAACTTATGAAACTTGGCCAAGAAACTATATATCTCAAGGAAATTCAAAGAATCGAGCAACTCTACTTGCATGCCTAGCTTGGTTTCATGCTGTTGTGCAAGAAAGACGAACTTATATCCCACAGGTGAGTATTCTTTTCTGAATACATTTTAATACTTTAAAACACCTTATAAAATCGCTAACTTATATTTTTCTACGTACATTCAATTATATATAAACCGAGTATAGTTTAGGTAGATAGAAATTAGTTACGTGTAGATCTTAGCAACGAATAAGCGATTTCGAAGATTGTCCTATATTTTAAGAGAAGCGTGGTTGTGGTAATGGGTTTAATTTGTAGGTAACATTCGTCACCGTTCGACCTTAGATTGGGTACCAAGGTCGCTAAGACAGAATAATCAATGTAGGATTGTTATTAAAACAATTTTAGTTGTTTATAAGCGTTAAAATGAATTCTGTGTAATGTGTAGCTAAATTAGCTTGTAAGTCAAATAAAACGGTTTAATAATATGGGACCCCTCAGCAGTGCGCATCCACGACCCCGCACCCAGGACCTACTGGTTTCGCGCGCGAGCACTTAATCACTAGACCACTGGGCCGGCGTCCAACAGTGTTAATTTCTAACTTCAACCAATCCACGAAGTTGCGCAACCGTACACCATTGTCTTCAGTGAGCTGATATCTCACAATAGACCTGGTTGAACTCCACTGGTAACGGCTTCCCATTAGAACTCCTGGAGTACTAGGACGAAACGGCCGTCCAGTGCTTTCAGGTTTTCCATGGTGGTCTAGCTTCAATTGACTCATGATTTCAACTTGTGAAATTTCTAAAAATCTCCACGAAACCCATTCTGATTTTAAAATAATCAAAGTGGGAGGGAGAAATAATTGGAAAACTAATAACCACATTACTTGTTGGTGACTACGTAACTTATTAAGTGTTATGAATTCAGTTAAAGATAGTATAACTGATTAGGTGTTAACTAATTTGTTTAAATACTTTGGAGCAAGATAGTTGAACCAGATCTATAAATCAGATAAATTTACGTTGCGAGCACTAGAGGAGGGAATGTGTACTTTCAGCGTATTAAGTTACCATTTAATAAAGATTACTGACTTGTGGAATCCAATTATCTTGAGTGCAGAGTTCCAGGGTTTTTCTAAACTGTATAGCTAACACTATTTTAAAGGTTTGGAAACTGACTACTTTTTTGTTAGATTTTTTTGAACAGTGTAGATTATTGAAAAGGAATGGTAATTTTTTTCCATATGGTGCTTTTGTACTGAATAAGTTAAGGTTAAACTAAAAACTATCTTAACTACACTTCTGCGTAATCAGTTTTTTACATGTTCATGAGAACAGAAATGTAAATTTGCAGTGTAATTTATTCCTTAGGATATGCATCTGAAGGAGATGCTAGGTTAGGTATTCCTTTTAGGTATCACCATCGGATACGTAGGAAACACTTATTGTATTCCAATTAAATTAAGCCTTCTTTGCAATGTTGTCTAATCTTCTAATTAACATTGATGTATGTCCTCAAATATGGTTTTCTGTGCTCATGAACGTCCGACTTCATACGCTATCTTTTCCTTAAAATATATTTGCCTCAACTTGGACTATTTCTTACTGCAAACTAACGAGAACTTTTGGAAAAGTAATCTTCGTTCACCTATTCATGTGTTTTAAACCAACGGAAATTTTCTATTAATTGAAACATAATTTGAAGATGGTTGATATCACAAAAAGACTTGAATCAAAAAGTTATTCCAAGCTGAGGAGCAGGAAACATCTGTTTCACAATGTTTCGAGACTCTTAAACAATGCATAACCATAACCCTACCAAGAATCAAACCAAGGACATTCGAGTCTCTCTGTAAGGGTGGTGGGATTCAATAATTCGCAATTCCAGTATCACGCAATTCACGATATAATCCAATCATCATCTACTACCGGTGTTGATAGCCGTCTTAATAACGACATTGAATGAGATTGTAACATTACTACAATTTTGTAGTGACCAAATTTCATACCCTTGCTATCCAACTGTAAAATAGCTTCTTTTAACATCGATAGTTGTATACATATTTCAAATTTTCTGGCTTTTTGAAAATAGAAGGCATAAAATCATATAATTTTCTTTAAATAAATAATGTTTAAGGTTCTTTCATGTAACGTAAAACGTGCTGGGATAAATCTAAGTCTACCAAAACAAGACGGAAATAGGCTTTATTTCACTTTATTCCTAAATGAATTGTATGCTGGTGTTATTACCAATTGATCACTAAGCAGTAGTAATTAACGTCATATTGTCTACTCCTTGGTTGAATCGTAGCGATCAGATTGCAGTGAAGTCTGTTTTAGATTTGAATGGTTTAAAGCTGTTATCTAGAATCAGTGGACTTAAGTTTTATACTATTTGACACCTGTTTGCAATATTTGTTCATAGTCTGTAGGGAACTGATATTACACCGTCAGATTCTAGCTTATTTCACCCAATCCAGATTCTGGAAGTATGGAGAAAAAGTAAATTTCATGTTGATAAAAAATCACTTAACAATGTAGGAAACTTTCTAGATTACTTTTTTTTCTCTATTTAGGGATGGACGAAATTTTATGAGTTTACATTTGCTGATCTTCGTGCTGCAGCCGACGTAATCGATCGGTTATTATTGATAGATCATGGTCAAATATCTAGAACAACTGAAGATATTTGGTCGTGGATTCATGGTTTATTTGGTGAATCAATTTACGGTGGTCGTATGGATAATACAGTAGACTTAAGTGTATTGAATTCATATCTCACTTCAATATTTAACGATGATACAGTGAGAAATCGTCAACTTGGTCCTTTCAAACTACCTGGTACAATTGAATTAAAAGTATGAATTATTGATTATCTATTTCTTTTTTTTTTGAATTTTCATTGTTTTTTAGTATTGATAGTTAAAGTAGAACCAACAGTACGACTTGTTAACCCCTTTGGGTGCTTGATCTCATCTCCTGTACTGATAGTTATCCTGTTTCTTACTTAAGTCCACAGGTGTTCTACAAATTATACGTATAATTTATAAAAGAAACATGTTCACTTTAATAAGAAATGAGTTGACAACCACCATAAAGTAGTAGACCATTACTTCTTGCATTTTCCAGGGAAAGGTTGACCAGGTGAGCATATTGGATTAAACTGAAAAATTCCTTTTTTCAGTTATTATAAGTGCACCAATCCTGTAGGGAACATGGCAATTAGTATTTACGTTACACATTGAACTGCTCTTATGTTTCTCTGCTTGTGAAAATTGGCGTATTAGTTTGTGAGGTTTTTTTTCATTTGGATATCAATTCTTTGATGTTTGTTAGTTCCATGAAAATTAGATGATTATTATCTATTGAGATTACTGGGGGAACTTGTTCCTCTCTCAGATGTTGCATAGACTCTCTCTTCTCATTATACACTTAAACAGTATTTTATCTAGAACAAAACAATAGTAAATTTTAATATTTTATTTAGCATACACTTATGTTTGACTCAGTATCAACTACCGATTGAAAAATTAATCGGAGTATAATTACTTGTTGTTATTGTTATTATGAGTATCACACCACTAGTGCTGTCGTGTATCATGGAGTGCTACGTTAGAAATTAAAAGACTAGGCCCCCCAGCTAATAGGTTCGAAGCTCGAACTTTACTTCATTTAATTTCGTTTTGGCACCTGGGCAGTATTACTAACCGTCACACAAAGAATATAGCTGTAAGTCGAGTCCATTAACCTGTACTCAATACATGAGTACCTGGTGAACAAATCTCAAATTGTATCAAACACTGTATGTGAAATTTAGGTGTCAAAAAGTGAATTACTTTGTGATTTTTTATCACAGGCTGATCACAACTGGGATGCCATTGAAAACCATGGAGTACTGGTCAACTTTTTCGTTATAGTATAAGACTTCTGAGCAGTGTGCACACTTTTTATCTGATTTCATCTTTATTTAAACACAATAACCTTTTCATTGTTCATTTTAGTCTAGTTTTTACAAAAAGAGCTTGCAGTTCACTTGTCATTAATATCATGACCGAATCACCCCCATACATCCCTCCATTTATTTTCCCGGTTTCATTTGTTTGACTTCATCTGTATTTTGCCACAACATTTCAGTTGTTCAATTTGATCTAGTTTATATTTCATTTATAATTTACTGTTATGATAACTAGTTTTATTATTTTCACATTATTCAATGAAATGTTTGACCTCTTATCAATTTAGACATCCAACTACTTCAGTTCATCTCGTATTCTCTACCAGTGTTACTATGATTAGTAATGTTATTATCACCATTAATATGATTACCTCATTAATGGTTTTGTTTGATAATTGCTATCAACTTCATTACTTTCCAATGGTTGAGATCATGAGTCAACTGAAGCTAGACCACCGTGGAAAACCTGGAAGCACTGGACGGCCGTTTCATCTTATTGTGGGACTCCTCAGCAGTGCGCATCCATGATTCCGCCTCGCGAGATGTGAACCCGGGACCTATCAGTCTTGCGCGCGAGCGCCTAACCACTAAACCACTGAGCCGGCATTATTTTGTTTATCATAATCGCAACAATTTGCACATGTTCCTTATATACTATTATATAACAATCTCTCCGTCTTTGACTTAATCCGATCATCTATGTTATTGAATCGTTTAAAGATCCCCATCATATAAAAAGACTAATATTTGAACGAAGAATATTCTTTTCGATAAATTCTCTTTCGGTTCTACAATTATATGTCCAAATCAATAATCCGAAAAATGGCCAGGTTAAGTGTAAAGTGCATTGTTGAAGGCATATGAATTTAGGATTGTCAAACAAAATAGAATAAAATTGTTTATAAGCAAAGATGGATAGTGGCTAGCGGTGGAATCCAGGACGCGCGTTTCGTCCTGTTTGGGACTCGTCAGCTGGATGTACCTGCATCTCAGAGTTGATGTTCACCCTGGGACTCGAACTCAGTACCGTTCGCTTCAAACGCCATCACGTTATCCACTTAGCTACTGAGTCCTGATAGCCACTTGCTTGTGCAATGGGTTGAAGTTGAATTCACTTGATATTGTTTTACTTGATCAATTTCAGTCCAAAAACATCAATGGGAAGATTCAAGTAAAACAATATCAAGTGAAAAATTGTTTATGTTGATATGACTCAGATAGAATATTAACTTGAAAATCTAAGATCCATGATCAGAATAAATATGGGTCAGACAGGGTGAGAGAAATAATTCGATCAAATATTTGGTGGATGATTATAATGTGTGAAATAGTAATAAGACGTTATAAGGAGGGATGAATGTGAAGTGAATGAATCATGTATTGGGGAGATTAATTACGATATTTAATTAATAATAATAATAATAGTAACAATGATAACAATACAAAGAATTGTAACTACGAAAGGTCGCAAGTTCAATAGTCATATTAGGTCATTCACTAGCTAACATTACTATTGATTAATTGGACTTGAAGTTGGTCAGGGAAGGTGAAGTGATTGATGATATTTCTTTTGTACTCATACCTCCGGTTTCTTCATCAGGATGGCTACTGATTCAGCCGTTTGAAAGACTAAGTCTAAATTACTGACCCGACAAATAATTGAAAAGGATAGGTTTATACTGGCACTATGACCAGTTTGCACTAAATGGGTCACAGGTCTAAAAGTAATGCTTTCTAAATGAGGTCTAAATGTTTTGATACTCGTCCTTAGTGGGTGCTAACTGCTGAGAAATCCCATACAATAGTAAAGCAGCTGCTCAATGCTTTCTTATTTTCAATGGTGTTTAATCAAAGTCAGTATGTATTGTAAAAAGTATTCAAAATGAAGTTTATAAATGTACTATTGATGAATGGTTTATCAAAAGGATTGACACTTGAATTTTCCAAGGTAACGCTGATTAATCCATAATTGACATGTATTTGTATCTATGATAGCTAACAAAATTCAGTAAACTTGTTTAAACTTAATGTTTTGTATCAATGATGAAGGTTTGAGATCTATCGATATGTTTTTTGAAATGAAGAGAGAATATTATTAGGTTGTAATTAAACATCATAATTATGAATTGAATTTATTTCTACGTTATACACTTGTTTAAAGTAATCACAATTGATTGATCACTGGGTGGTGATCAATCTCATGCGTGTCTAGTCCTTATTAGTGCAGATCGAATGCTATCGATCATGTTGCAATGTGGCCACCAGTCTAGGTGACTCGACACTGTGGGTACTATATACTGAGATTAGATGGTGGTTGGAGGTAGTCGGCAGGAAACCCTGGACCCGGGTTTTGTGCTACTTGGCACTCGTTAGCAAGGTGTACCTGTAATCTTGAGCCGTGACTAACCTCCTGTAGGACTGAGATGTAATCACAATTGATTGATCACTGGGTGGATAGCTCAGTGGTAACGTCTCTGACTGTGAAGCTGGGTGACACGGGATCGAATCCATCGGGGAGCACCAGTTCCCTCAAGATTACAGGTACACCTTGCTGACGAGTGTCAATTAGCACGAAACCCCGGTCCAGGGTTTCCTGTCGACTACCTCCACCCACCATCTAATCTCAACTTGTTTAAAGTAATTCTATGTTGCATCTTGCATCAATGGTAAAGTGGTATACTAATTAAGAGTCACAAAGATTTTATTACGTGATGAATGAACTTGTTATTGATGGAATTAGTGAATCGAATACTGATTAATGGATGATATGAATTGTGGCCGATTGATGGTTGCTCATGAGATTGTTTTATTGGTACAAGTCTCTGAAGGATTTTGACATATAAGACAAGGGCACTAACCTAAAGAGTAGATTTTTCTTACGTAATAAAATGATAAAATAAGCATGATAAAATGTCACAGATGATTGAAGAAAATTGATTTGTAATTCACCAATTCTCCAATCAATTATTAATATCTAATTATTAGGTCTAATTTTTACTCCGCTTGAAGCTCTTCTAGAGTTACTACCGATCTCAAACCCGGATAAAGGAGGAAGGCTGGGCATGAGGTCGGAAACCTCATGCTGTAAAAGAAAAACTTACTAAAAAAAACGCTCACCTGAAAAAATCATTTAAATCACTTAAACTTTGCTCTAGTAGTTGGAGGGTCTTCATATAGAATAGTTGGAGAGCTGAGAAAGACGAGTTTAAAACAGTCGCGATGAATTCGTTTGGAATTGTTGTTTGAATCTTTTCATTGATGTTTAAAACTTCAATCGATCAGTCTCTTTTGTGATATCTGTCTAGTCCTAATTGATTATCGACTATGGAATCCAGGCAAAAAGTGAATCTTAGATTTTACAATGAAAATTGTTAATTATCAATAAAATTTATAAGCTAAAATATCTTATTAAACTGAATCTAATTATATACCTATATTTAATTTAATCTTATTACAGGACTATATTGTTCAGATCAATACTTTGCCTGATCACGATCTTCCTATATATTTTAATTTATCACCTAATATTGAAAATAGTATGCAAAGAAGTGAAGCAAATCGTGTAATTGCTCAACTTAGATTACTTAATCGACCTTTCATGGATACTAAACATAAATTTGATAAAAGTCTATGGAGTAAAGAATTAGGACCAATATTGATATTATGGAAGAAACTTAATCAAGGTTTAAATCTGTTACAAGTAAATTCACTAACTTTATGTAGAATTCATATTACTGATTATTAAATTTGAAGAGTTATGTTTTCTAACTTTTGAGATATTCCATTTCATTTACAAATTAGACAACTTTGTCTTATTCGACCGGATTCAGAGTAAAGTGGAGTACTTTGATGTAAGTTAAATGTTTAAGGGATTTATTCATTTTAACTGGGGTGATGATAAATAACAAAGAAATGGCCTTCATATCACCAGCTGAACTATACAATGTCCGTCCAATAAATATGAGAACTAAGGTGATGGAAACTATTTTTAAAAATCTAAAGTAGATTAATCTTACTGCTTTCGAATTTCTTCTCATTTGTGAAAATACACTGGTTCCATCTCCGACTTCATTACTCTGAACATATCTGAAAGTCATCAAAAGCTAGACATTTTAGCCGCCAAATTTTTTTCACACGATTCAACCTACACTAGATATTTTGCTCGAATAGTAAACGTAGAAAATTTTCTTGAAAATCTCAACAATTATCTTGATGGTGGTGCGGCAGTCTAAATGAACAAAATACCTCGAATGTTCCATCCTCCCATCAACACAAGAGGTTGATGGCCGTCTTTAATTTGCAACGCCATTCAAGTATTTATGTCCTCTAATGAAGTATTTTTATTTATTTATTTAAATACATAAACATTAGTACAAGGAGGTACCAAATAGATATGCGCCTCATAACTCATTTGATTTGTGTGAGGGCTGGGAGACTGCCCTGTTGGTCAAACCGAATCAGGCGGTTTTCTTAGGGGGCCACACTCGGAGCCTTCGACATAAAGGTCTAACCCACAAGGCAATGGAGCAACGTCAGCAGATGAAGTCCCATAGTAGCCGGTGACCAACAATAGGTTCATACACCATTTGTTCCTTCAGGATACTGGGGCCCATGTGCACCATTGGTTTGGAATCAGGGCTTTCCAACTCCCCTAGGTGGGCTCTCCGTGTCCACCAACCCAGTTAAAATGCCGGATATTCACTTTTCGTCCTTTCAATTTGTTAAACAATACCCTTGCCGCGAGTTGCAGTGAGTAGGACTTCAGTGACAGTGGTTGTATGCACGTGGTCATGTGAGAGCTTTTGGAGAGGAAAAGCTGACTCTCTCCACTCTCGGCCGTGCCAGGGTATCTGGGGGCCAATTTATTAAAAACGCCGGTGTCACCCGGTATTCCCGGCCGGCTACCCACACAAGTACTGACCGGGCCCAACGTCGCTTATCTGCGGTGATCGGACGAGAACCGGTGCTTTCAACGTTCTATGGCCGCCGGCTAAGTGCTCGATTTACTTGAAAAGATCTATTTTATTCATTGTATTATCTTTAAAAATAGCCCTTAGTAATTTTTCAAATCGAATTTTCAGCAAAATAACTAATTTACTGTCATGTAGTTGAATACATTCGAATTGACTAACAAAATTGAAAACTTTAGAAATCGTATGCTGAATCAATTAAAGGTCATGTTGACCCTCCATAGAAGTAAACTAGTTACACGATTCTTGGTCATTTACAACTAGGTTCTAGGCGCTTAAGATTATTTCAATAGTTAAGATCATGAGTCAGTTGAAGCTAGACCCCCATGGAAAACCTGGAAGCACTTGAAGGCCGTTTCGTTCTATTGTGGGACTCCTCAGCAGTGCGCATCCACGACTGATGATCTCAACTATTGAAATTACCACTATCTCCACAAAACCCCTTCTGAGCTTAGTATTATGTCGATCAACATCGATTCACTGTTATATCAGTCACTCTTATGTACGTAGAATATTGAACTGAATTGCGCCTAATTCGATTATTCGTAGTGAGAACACAACATTTGATAATATGGATTTATTAAACCCCTGAAATAAATCGAAATGATTCATGAATACACGCATGTACATATTGTATTTACTCACACTTGATGATTAGTTAACAATTATCACATACATGGGTAATTATTGTGTCTTTAACCCGGTCAATTATCACGGGACTTATTCGTCAATCGAAATACGACTTATACAATCATCGTACCGTGCCAAACTAATGTGTCCGACCAGTATGAGCAGCCCAGTGTGCCTATTGGTCCTTTTCCTTCCTGGCCCTTCCAGTTGAGTCCAGAACACCGACACCAGCTTCCACTATGCGAATCATTTATTTCAAACATACTTGGTTCATATACCAACCAAATAGACCACATTACACCATAAAATAGCAAATAACGTTTATAAAAGATCAAACCAAATAGTGGCTGTTGAACGTGGGAGACTGCAATCAATAAACTGGACATAACTTAAGAACAGTAAAAGCTTATAATAAGATATACATAATCTAATCAAATAGTTATACCATAAGAATATATAGACAATATTAGTCGAATAATAGGTCTCAGGGGTTACGGATTTTACACTGAATTAATGCAAAGAATTTTTTCCTGAATAAATATCACATTGAAAATAAAACAAAATTTACACTAAGCAACCATAGTCAACGATAAACATAAACTGTTGAACAGTAATTAAGTTCGATTCATCTGGAGACTTTAGGATGGGTGTAAATTATGGGGTTTCAGTACCAAGCAAATGTCAATTAAGCATTCTATGGACTTAATAGTGAACGACTTAACATTTAATTACCTTACTATACAATGTTTTAATGCAAAAAAGTGTTTAAGCTTGGTAAAAAATGTATAGCTCTTTGGTTGATGACTACTTTTGTGTTATTACTTCTTTTCTCAGTCTCGAACATCAAACAAAACTAACAAATCTACCTTGTCTAAGTCAGGAGATGATATCAGTTCTGAGAATAGATCAACAATTGAAAGTTCGATTCAAGAATTTTTACATTTAGAATTATATAATGCTCTTCAGCTTATTCAACATGTGCATTTAAGTTTAGCTAGTATTGCACGAGCATGTAAAGGGACTCAGTTAGTAACTGGAGTTATGCATCAATTAGCTAATAGTTTATTACATGGTGAAACACCTGATTCATGGTTATTACAATGGCCTGAAGGACCGAATGAAGTAGTCCCTTTCCTACGAGAATTAGTTGTTAAAGCGAATGCTGTACAAGTAAGTTATTCATATATTGTGGGTTGACATTTTTCTCTGCTTCATTTAAATTTTAAAGAGATTGTATTGTCACATACTACATTCAGTCTAACAGTCACCATTAATTTAGCAACTGGTACTCATGTATATCGATTCAGTTCTCTATTTCTTAATGATAAGAATGCAAGTTTAACATGAAAAGGACTTTTACTGCTTGACCAGTAGCAGTAAATAACTGTTTCAAATAAAATAGATTTCTAACCAATCAGGATTAATATTTATGGGGTCAGCTCTAAAGGACGCTTCTAGTTGAAGGCTCTTGACCAAGAATCGTAGCCAGGTACAAGTTACGTATAACTCCTCTCATTTTGTGAATGGCTAAATCATTAAAGTAGTGTTAACGGAACTAATACCTATATGGGATCTAAAGTGCGTATTAAAGCTCTCATTTTCACCAGAACCGAAAGCAATCCTTACTAGCACAACAAGTTTATCATTTTAAGTTTTCACTAGGATACCCGGAATTTAATGAATTCTGACTACGTTTAGAAACATGAGTTTACTTCTGTTTACCAATACATTTTCATTTTGAGTGTAATTGAAATCGAGGAAACTAAGAGAATCAATCGTTATAACACTATTCATAAGAGCTATGCACCAAAATATATTTTTATCGAACTGTGCATATCTAGAGTTAAACGTAGGATTGATTTTGGTTTGTGGATATTGCAATCATCTATATATGTCAAGTGTGTGTCAGTGAGAATTTTGCAATCAGGTCACGTGTTGGTTAGTAAATCACACAATACATAAGATTGTATACATTAATAGTGTAGTTGTTTTTAAATTTGCGGGAAGGTAAGTGATTAATCTTGATGGTGGTCTAGATTTAATCGACTTATGAATTCATCTATTAAATTACTACAATCGTCACAAAACCCCCCTTTCTGATAATGATCTTGATTAGTTTAAGTTGCATTATCAATGAATGGAAGGAACTATGTATACTGGATCTATTAATGTTTTCACTATAATACAATTTCATTGGGGATGATTTAGGAATTACTGAACTTAAAACTGATCAAGACAATGAAAGAGATAGGATGTTTTGTCTTTATGACCAATACAATTAAATTTTTTTGGTGTGACATTGCTAATGCTTAATCGATTTGGAAGATTAGAATCTGGATAACCTATGGCAGGTTGTTTGAAATACGGCAGTCATAGATCTGGTGTTATTTGCTAATATTTTGCAGCTCACAGGAACAAAAAGTATGGGAAGGAGGTGATCGTATTAATTATCTATTTGTGTGTTTTCAGTGTATATCCCTTTCTATTATCTGTCGTATTAATTTGTACAGACATACCAGTTAGCTATTACAAGCTTTGTGTCAATTCGATTTAACCATTTACTAGCAAACAATGTATATGGAAATGTAAGTAATGCCGATTATATTATTATGATCTGTACATTATTTTCGTTTAGGATCGATATCAGTCATGGTACCATGGAGAGCCACTGAGCACTGGAGAACTGTTTCGTCTTCATTGAGGGTTTACTAACGGTGCGTACCCAGTAAGGGATCTCATTTAAGTGATAAGCGTCTAAGCTTTGAGTTACTTGGTTGGAATTCAATGGTTCTTACTAATCTATGACAAAAATCATTTAAAAATCAAACTAGCTTCTATATAAGCACTTAATCAAAATATTAACATGACCATTGTTAACTGAAACTTTCTAATATAGATCAATAACGAATGAACTTATTCTTTATTTCAACCGATTTGTTCTGTATATCTTTTTAATTGTTATTAGACGTGGACCAAACAGGCAGAAAACAATCAGTTTTCCAATGAACAAAATGTACAGTCTTTAGACTTAGCCAATCTATTTCATCCGACCACCTTTTTAAATGCTTTACGTCAACAAAGTGCAAGATGCTTGAATGTACCAATTGACACACTTAAACTATCATGTCAATGGCTGGAATCAAATGATCGTAGGAATAAATCCTCTGGAAATAGTCAATCATTACCAATACGTATTACGAATTTGAAATTGGAGGGTGCCAATTTCCGAAATGGTCAACTTAGTCAAAGTTGCCAAAGTGATTCAAGTCTAGTTCAACTACCTGATATTTTGTTGCGATGGATTCAACAAGTAATAATTGTTTCGTTTAAACCATTTAAATCACTATCATTTGTTCGATGATCGATATATTCCAGTCTTCATACCACAATACCAGTAAATGGTAGACTTCGGATAACTTTTGATTAACATGTTGCATAACTGACTGTAAACAGAACTTTAAAGAAAACTTACCTACGCCTGTTACTCCTAATGGAGCATAGGCTGCCGACCATCATTCTCCAACCCACTCTGTCCTGGGCCTTCTTTTCTAGTTCCATCCAGTTCTTGTTTATTTTCCTAATGTCTATCTCCATTTCCCGGCGTAATGTGTTCTTTGGTCTTTCTCTTTTCCTTTGGCCTCGAGGATTCCATGTGAGGGCTTGTCTTGTGACACAGTTGGGTGCTTTCCTCAATGTGTATCCTATCCACTTCCAACGCTTCTTCCCGATTTGTTCCTCCGTTGGGATCTGATTTGTTTTCTACCACAGTTGGTTGTTGCTGATAGTGTAGTGTCTGGTCAACGGATCCGGAGTATTTTGCGTAAACAACTGTTAATAAACACCTGTATCTTCTGGATGATGGCTTTAGTAGTTCTCCAGGTTTCCGCCCCATACAGTAGAACCGCCTTGACATGTGTATTGAAAATTCGGACTTTGGCATTGATTGACAATTGTTTTTGAGTTCCAGATGTTCTTCAGCTGTAGATATGCAGTTCTTGCTTTGCCGATGCGCGCCTTCCACCGTGTTCATCAATGATACTGCCCAGATATGTAAAGGTTTTTACATCTTCCAAATCTTCTCCGTCAATTGTGATTGGATTGGTGCATGCTGTGTTGTATCAGATAATCTTGCTTTTCCCTTTGTGTATATTGAGACCTACTGCTGCTGAGGCTGCTGCTACACTGATCGTCTTTCCCTGCATTTGTTGTTGCATGTGCGATAGAAGAGCCAGATCATCTGCGAAGTCTAGGTCGTCCAACTGCATCCTAGATGTCCACTGTATCCCATGCTTCCCCTCAGATGTTGACGTCTTCATGATCCAGTCGATCACCAGGAGAAAGAGAAAGGGTTAGAGTAAGCAACCTTGCCTGACACCGGTCTTTATTTCGAACGACTTTGTCAACTGTCCTCCATGCACAATTTTGCAGTTTAATCCATCATAGGAGTTCTGTGTGATATTGGCTATCTTCTGAGGCACGCCGTAGTGTCGAAGAAGCTTCCATAGTGTTGTTCTGTCCACGCTATCAAATGCCTTTTTGTAGTCAATGAAGTTGATATAGAGTGATGAATTCCGTTCAATTGATTGTTCCACAATGATCCGTAGAGTTGCGATTTGGTCTGTACACGATCTATCCTTACGGAATCCTGCCTGTTGGTCACGAAGTTGGGCACCTACGCAGTCCTTCATCCTGTTTAACAATACCCTGTTGAAGACTTTTCCCGGTATTGAGAGAAGAGTGATGCCCCTGTAGTTATCACACTTGCTGAGATCGCCTTTCTTTGGGATTTTGACCAGAAGTCCTTCTTCCCAGTCTGTTTGTACTTGTTCCTCATCCCAAATTTTGCTGAAGAGAATGTGGAGTATCCTTGCAGTTACCGCTACATCTGCTTTCAGTGCCTCTGCTGGAATGTTGTCTGGTCCTGGTGCTTTGCCACTCTTGATTTGTCTGCTGGCCATGCTGATTTCTTCAATTGTTGGTGGGCCAACATTGATTGGGAGGTCCGTGGGTGCTGCTTCGATGTTGGGTGGGTTCAGTGGAGCTGGTCGATTCAAGAGTTCTTTGAAGTGTTCTACCCACCTGTTTCGTTGTTCTTCGATGTTGGTGATTACCTTGCCTTCCTTGTTTTTCACTGGTCGTTCTGGTTTATGGTGTTTTCCAGAGAGTTTCTTTGTTGTGTCATACAGTTGTCTCATATTTCCTTCTCTTGCAGCCTTTTCCGCCGTCGTTGCTAAATCCTCTACATATTTACGTTTATCGGTTCTGATGCTTCTCTTCACCTGGTTGTTTACTTCTGTGTATTCAGCTTGTGCCTTGGCTTTCTCTGCTCTTGTTCGGCTGGTATTGATTGCTGCCTTCCTGTTCCTCCTTTCTTGAATCTTATCCAATGTATCAACAGTGATCCATTCCCTGTGATGGTGCTTCTTGTGGCCCAGGACCTCATGACATGTTGAAGTGATTGCCTCTTTTATCCCCTTCCAGTTGCTCTCTATAGTAGTTCCTTCTCCATTGAGTAGATCATGAAAGGCCTGGAACTTGTTGCTGAGGACTATCTTGAATTTGTTGAGTTTGTTAGTATCCTGAAGAAAGGCCGTATTGAACTTTTGTGATATTGTCCGCCCCGTTGTCCAGTGCTTCTTGAGTTTCAATTTCATCTTGGCGACCAGCAAGTGATGATCTGATGCTATATCAGCTCCTCTCTTGCTTCTCACGTCCTCTATAGTTCTCCTGAACGTTTTGTTGATGCAAATATGGTCGATTTGGTTTTGTGTAGAGTGATCCGGTGAAGTCCATGTAGTTTGTGAATGCGTTTATGTGGGAATATAGTTCCGCCTATGACCAGTTTACTGAACGCACATAGGTTTGCGAATCTCTCACCATTTTCGTTCCTTTCTCCCAGTCCGTGTCGTCCCATGATGTCTTCATATCCAGTGTTGTCCGTTCCAACCTTGGCGTTGAAATCTCTCATCAGAATGGTCAGGTCCTTTGTTGGGCACTTCTCGACGATTGACTGCAGCCTATTGTAGAATTGATTTTTAGCGTCTTCATTGTAATCGTTGGTAGGCGCATAGCATTGGATGACGTTCATTGAAACGCCCCCTTTCTTTGTTTTGAAGGAGGCCTTGCTGACCATTGGTCCATGAGATTCCCATCCTATAAGTGCATTTTGTGCTTGTTTGGACAGCATCAATGTAACTCCTTGTGTATATGGGGCATCTTCTTCTTCATGGCCGGAGTATAACAGAAGCTCCCCTAAATCTAGTCGTTGTTGTCCAACTTGCGTCCAATGTGTTTCACTGATCCCAAGCACCTCCAGGTTGTATCTCCTCGTTTCTGAAGCAATTTGGAAGACTCCCCCAGTCTCCCACATTGTACGAGCACTCCATGTACCTAAATAAATGGTTGTTCTAGTTGTCAGAAGGGGCATCGGCCTCGTGACTTCCGAAGGAACTCGGCTTTCATCATGAGGCGTCATAACTCTTCTAAATGAAGACTTTCTGAATCCCAGGGCAGAGTTTAAATGGTTTGAATAATTTTTTATGATTAGCGTTTTTTGGCGAGTTCGTTTTCTACTGGATGGGGTTGCTAACCCCATGTCCAACCCTCCTCCTTTATCTGGGCTTGGGACCAGCACTGGCCCCCGGAGGGACTCCAGGCGGAGTTTTTAGAGAAAAAGATAGACTTGAAAGTGAAACCATTTGATTTTAGATGTCATGAAAATTCCATTTTCGATTGGCGAAAACTTCGTTTATTTTAAATGTAAAAGTGTGGATATTTTTCTATTGTGAGATAGTTTCCAATTTTGGCTGAAACTTGTAAATTAATTCATTTAGTTCCAAAACATTCTCAACAAAATTATTAGACCGACCATGTTGGATGTGAGGAAGTTACCCACCACAGACAATGGTAAATGGTTACTCAGTACCGTGAATTCATCAAAGTTGTAATTGTACACCATTGGATCCCAGCTTAGTGGTCTAGAGGTTAAGCATCCGCGAGGAAGACGAAGGTCGTAGGCGTGTTCCTCCTGAGAAGTCCCATACTGACGAAATTTCAATCCAGTGCTCCAAGATTTTAAGCAGTTGTCTACATTGAATCGGCTTGATCTCAATAAACAAAGTTTTGTAACGGAGACGTGTGTGGTCAAACGGCACTTTATTGGGAGGAAGTAAGGCTTGGATACCAAATACATACATAGAACTTAGCAGTTTAATCCATAGAATTGAGGACTAGATAAAGCATACATTATTCAAAATTCAGTGATCAGGAAGTAACTAGGATTCTCCCCAAAGGAGACATTCGGGACTTACACATCAGATTCGAA